ATATTTTGTAAGTTTTTTTTTTTTTTTAATGACCTTGAATGTGCTCTATATTGGTGAATTTCTATATGCATTTAAACAGAATGTGATTTTGTTATTGAATATAAGTATGTAGGTACATGTCTTTTAGATAAAGTTGTTTATAGTGTTGTTCAGGTCATAGAAGTCCTTGTTGATTTTCTTTCAACTTGATCTATTAATTATCTGAGAAAGTATGTTTCATTATCCATTTTTACATATGGATTTGTCTGTTCTACCAGTTCAATCAGTATTTGCTTTTTGTGTTTTGATGTTCTGTTGTCAGGTGCATATACATTTAGGATTGTTGCATCTTCATAATGAAGTAATGATCCTTTTTATTCCTTGTAACTTTTCTTGTTTTGAAGTCTTTGTATGTATCAATTTTATCTTTTTTCTTTTGATTAGTGTTTGCCTCATTAGTGTTTTCATCATTTGACTTTGAACTTGTTTTAAAGTAGATGAAATCTTTCTGATGCCTCCATTTATTTAAATAGATTAAGAAAAATATTTGGATTTTTTTGTACCATATATGAATTAAAAAGAGATGTTTTTGGACTAACTAGCTGTTGAGGTTGTTACTGAATTTTTATATTAGGTTGTGGCTGTAATTGGATTAAATCACTGGACCACAGTGCCTAGCATAGTAATAAAAAGAATCAGAAAACTCCTATGGGAGCAGTTACCAACTCATCTATTCTGAGACTTGGTTATAAGGTTTAGGTAAAATCTCTTTTAGTACTCTCCATCTTCAGGGTCCAGTTATAGTAAGTGGTGTCATTTTGCAGTTTAGGCCTTTTTTGATCACTGGCAATTTTGAACTGCAGGCAGAGGGCTAATAGCAGTATGGATGATATCAAGATATTTTGAGGCTATGGTTTTTGATAGTAAATAAAGGTTGTGTGAAACATAATGACTTTTTCTTTTTCTCTTGGTGCTGTGGAGTTTCTTTTACATTGCCATTGAAATTATCATTTAGGTCTGGCTCAGAGCCTTTGTCCTTATATCTGTTCTTTTTCACCTATACCTATTCTGTATGGTTTTTTAATATTAACTTTTTCAGGAAATATACTTACAAATCACAAAAATATTGTAATAAAAATATTGCTTTGTGTATTTTTGGATATATAACTTCAATTTTCAAATGCAAAAGTCTCAGTGCTTATTACACTAATTGTATAGGGAAATAGTTTCCTTGGTCTATATTTTTGCTTAAAATTTTTTATCAAGTCTGTCTATAAAGCAAATTACAAACTTTCTTTAGACTATCTCATCCTTTATAATGGCTTTAAATATTATTGATTTAGTAATGGCAAATATACCTTCAGTCCCACCTTCTTTCCTGAATCTTCAGACAATTATACTCAACTATGTACTTGACATCTTCATTTGGATTTTTAATAAGATCCTTTATTTCTTCTAGAGAACAGACCTAACAAACTTAGGTCAAAATTGTAGTTTTACAATATTCTAGTTGTGTGGTTTGGGCATGGTGAGTTTTTTTGTTTGTTTTTCTGTGAAGAAGGGGAATGTTCATTGGGGTAAGGACTGGGGAATATCACTGTCACTCATACATTTCCTGTAGAATCTTCATACTTTCTGGGTATGGAAGCTCATTTCTGGGTATGGAGCTCATTCTGATGAGTTGCCTTCTTCCACTTGAGGTGGGGAGTACTTAGCAGTTGAGGCAGAGGCTATAGTGGAGCAAGAGGTTGAGAGACACTCACCTCTGGTGGATTTGTAGCATGGTTTTTAACCATGTATGTTTTAGGAATGGCTAGAGCTGGAGGGGATATTATGCTAAATGAAATTAATTAGTAGGAGAAAGACAAATACTAGGTGCTTTCACTTACATGTGGAATACAGAAAAGCAAAGGGTTAGATAAATTCAAAGCAATAATAAATCTAAAAATCTGACTGTAGAATTGAGGCTACCAGAGTGGAAGGGGAGAGAACAAAGTGTGGAGGGAGCACAGTGAACTATGGTGGAAGACTATGGTGGTGGGTGTGTTAACAACACCTCTAAATCGTATCCATGATTATAAACCAATGTTACCTCAGTTGAAAAAAAAAAAAAAGTAGTATACTTATCCCATAGAGTACCATGAGAATTAAAGAATTAGTATTAATGTTCTTAAAACAATGCTAGTTTTTTTTAAAAAAAACTTGCATATCACATCTCAACCTGTTTTCTAAGCAGTAGCTGTTTTATTAATAAATAAATATTTAAGCCATTCATATCGTTCTTATGCTCAAAAACATTTTATTGGCTACCTGTCACACTCAAAGTAAAAATAAGTTTTTGCAGTATCTTTTAATATCTTAACTAGACTGGTAGTAGCTACCTCTCAGTTCAGTTACCTGGGTCTCACCTTTGCTCATACCATCTAAGCTACACTGTCCTCCTTACTGTTTCCTAAATATAGCAGTGACATTCACATTTAGATGGTGAATCAAATTCACTATCTAAAATATTCTCCCCTCCCCTCACAACTGTTTATTATTGTACCCTGTTATTTTTCTTCAGAGCAGTTACATTTAAATGGGATGATAGTGATTTTTTTGGTCCTTTTATTTTGTGTCTTCACCACTAGGATGTAAATTTGCTGAGAGCAGAAACTTTGTAAGTTTTTGTATGCAATTCCTGGTGCTTAGAGCAATGCTTATCATATAGTAGAATTTCAGTATTTATTGAATGAATGAGTGCCTGAATGAGTGAAATAAAATAAAGCAACTTTTCTACATTCATTCCCTTGACTGTGCAACCTTGGAAATCCATGAAATTTTACTAATGGTTTAAATACAGATACAGCATTCAAAAAAGATAAACACATGAAATTTGCAGCGACATGGATGGAGCTGGAAGGGATCATGCTCAGCGAAATAAGCCAAAAAGAAAAAGAAAAATACCGGATAGCCTCACTCATAGCAGAAATCTAGAAAACCTAAATAAGGGACCAGGAAAAAGAATAACTATAAGAAAAAAAAAATCAAAATCAACAAACAACTATGAACCAGAGACACACTTTGGGGGGGAGGGGGTGAGGAAAGGAGGGATTGGGGTCAAAATCAGGGGGTGGCAATTGTATGGGGAATATAAAAATAAATAAATCATTAAAAAACCCCACAAAAAATAAATACTCACAGATATTTGGAATTGGTGAAGATTGAGATATCATGTTTAATTTTTAATTGATTAAACTTTTAAAATTTTCTTACATTGTTCATATTCGTACAATATTTGCTTTCTTTTCTCAGGTATAGTCCCCATTAGTCTCCCACCACAACATCACCTGTGAACTATCACCATAATCTCTTGTGTTTTTCCTTCCCCTATTTAGACCCCTCTTCCTCCCTCTCCCCCTCTGTATGTCTCAGATCTACGGTTTGTCTGCAAGTTTTATCTTTTTTTTTTGATCCTTTGTTCAGTTTCCCTATAGTCCTCCTATAAGTGAAACTATCCAATACTTTTCATTTTCATTCTGACTTATTTCACTGAGTATAATCCCTTCCACCTCCATCCATATTGCTGCCATTGGCATGAGTTATCTTTTTTGATTGCTGAGTAATATTCCATTGTGTATCTATACCACATTTTCTTGATCTAGTCATCTGTTTTGGGGCATTTAGGTTGTTTCCATATCTTAGCTATTATAAATAGTGCTCCAATGAACAAGTGCTGCAGGTATCTTTTCAAATTAATGTTTTTGTGTCCTTTGGGTAGATTCCTAGGAGTAGAACTGCTGGGTCATATGGTGGATCCATTTTAAGTAATTTGAGGACTCTCTCCACAGATTTCCATAGTCATTGGGCCAGTTTGCATTCCCACCAGCAGTGGAAGAGGGTTCCTTTTTTTCCACATCCTCTTCAGCATTTGTTGTTGTCAATTTTTTTTATGTGGACCATTCTCACAGGTGTGAGGTGGTATCTCATTGTGTTTTGATTTGCATTTTCATGATTATAAGTGACGATGAACATTTTTTCATATTCCTGTTGGCCATCTGTGTTTCTGGTTTGGACAAGTGTCTTTTTAGCTCTTCTGCCCATTTTTTGACAAGGTGGTTTACTTTGTTTTTGTTGAGTTGTGTAAACTCTTTGTAGATCTTAGTTTTATGGAGTGCAAATATTTTCTCTCCAGTGTGTAGGGTGTCACTTTGTTTGGGTTATTGTCTCTTTTGAGCTTAATGTAGACCCAGCTGTTTATCTTTTCCTTCATTTTCTTTGCATCAGGGGATGAGTCCTCAAAGATGTTATTGCAGTGTATGTCATGGAGTGTTTTGCCTATGTTTTATTTCATGTATTTCATGGTTTCAGGTCTTATACATTCTTTTCTTTTAATTTAAAGAGAATGAATAAAGACAGTTAGGAAAAGAACCTACATCTTATGGCTGTTTTTCTTTTCACCATAACATACTTCTTCACTCAACCATTTAGAGATGGTGGTGGTGGTGGAAGATGTGAATACAGTGTTTGGTTTCCTAGGAAATTAAATACTTCATCTTTTCTATTTAAAATCTGCATTGCTTTTTTATTTTTATATCCTACTTGGGATTAAAGCAAGTATTTCTTTATTCTTAATAATAAATGCTTTTTATAAGTTGTAGAAAGTTAACCATGGGACTAATAATTTCAACTACATTGAAAGGGAAACTCTTGTTTTGATCTTATATAGAAGGGAAAATGTATTTAGATACTTTCATGTCAGCTTATACTTTGATGTTAGCTTATCACTTTAGAATATTTCCCTTTGTTTTTGAAGAAATACTTAGGGTTTTTTTTTTTTTGGGGGGGGGGAAAAATCTTGATTTCTCAAACAAAAAGAAACCATTTTTTCTGAATGTTATATCATGAATGTCTACCTGCCTTGCCTTATACTAGGCACCATATTTCAAGTTATTGTCACAACTTTAGTTATACTCACCAAAGAACAGAGTACTCAAAAACAAAAATAAGATCACAAATGGAGATGCTAACTGATTTCACAGGAACATAAGGGATCATAAGAGACTATTATGAACAGTTATATGCTGATATATTGAAAACCTTGAAGAAATGGCTACATTCCCAGAAACTTACTACTTTCTAAGACTGCATCAAGTAGAAATAGAAAATCTCAATAGACCAATTACTTGTAAGTAAACAGTATCAGTAATCCAAAACCATTTTATTTTATTTTATTTTAAATTTTTAAATTTTTAAAATTTTTTTTATTTTTTAATTATTATTTTTTTATATAATAAATTTTATTTTTATATTCCCCATACAATTGCAACCCCCCCATATTGACCCCAATCCCTCCCCTCCCGCCCCCCACCCCCCAAAAAGTGTCACTGGTTCATAGTTTTTTGTTGATTTTGATTTTAACTTTCTTATAGTTATTCATTTTCCTGGTCCCTTATTTAGTTTTGTTTTCTAGATTCCTGCTATGAGTGAGACCATCCGGTATTTTTCTTTTTCTTTCTGGCTTATTTCGCTGAGCATGATCCCTTTCAGCGCCATCCATGTTGCTGCAAATTGCATGTGCTTATCTTTTTTGAATGCAGAGTAATATTCCATGGTGTATATGTACCACATCTTCTCGATCCAGTCATCTATTTTTGGGCATTTGGGCTGTTTCCAAAGCTTAGCTGTTGTAAACAGTGCTGCTATAAACATAGGGGTGCAGGTATTCTTTGGAATTGATGTTTCTGTGTCCTTCGGGTAAATACCTAGGAGTGGAATTGCTGGATCATATGGAAGCTCTATGTTTAGTAGGTCCAGAAATCTCCACACAGCTCTCCATAGTGGTTGGACCAGTTTGCACTCCCACCAGCAGTGCAGGAGAGTTCCTTTTTCTCCACACCCTCACCAACATTTGTTGTTGCTAGATTTTTTAATATGTGCCATTCTCATTGGTGTAAGATGGTATCTCATGGTAGTTTTGATTTGCATTTCCCTGATTACCAGTGATGTTGAACATTTTTTCATATGCCTGTGGGCCATTTGCATTTCCTCTTCAGAGAAGTTTCTTTTTAGCTCTTCTGCCCATTTTTTGACAGGATTATTTTTTTTTTGTTGTTGTTGAGTCTCATCAGCTCTTTGCAGATTTTTGTGATCAGTCCTTTATCATTAGTGTTGTGTGCAAAAATGTTCTCCCAGTTGGTGGGGTTTCTCTTTGTTTTTGTTATTGTCTCTTTTGCTGTGCAGAAGCTCTTTAATTTGATGTAGTCCCAGCTGTTTATCTTTGCCTTCACTATCACTGCTTTGGGTGATGTGTCTGTAAAGATGTCTTTGATGTGCATATCACGTAGTGTTTTGCCTATATTTCCTTCTATGTATTTTATGGTTTCAGGTCTTATGTCTAGTTCTTTAATCCATTTTGAGTTGATTTTTGTGTATGGTGTGAGGTAGTGGTCAAGCTTCATTCTTTTGCATGTAGCGACCCAGTTTTCCCAGCACCATTTATTGAACAAACTTTCTTTGCTCCAATGCATATTCTTTGCTCCTTTGTCAAAGATTAGTTGACCATAAATCTGTGGGTTTATTTCTGGATTTTCTATTCCATTCCATTGGTCTGTGTGTCTGTTCTTGTTCCAGTACCATGCAGTTTTGATGATTATGGCTTTGTAGTATAGTTTGAAGTCTGGGAGTGTGATGCCTCCATTCCCTTCTTTTTTTTTCAAGAGAGCTTTGGCTATTCGGGTTTTTTTGTGATTCCATATGAATTTCATCAATAATTCTATTTCTTTGAAGAATGACATTGAAATTTTGATTGGAATAGCATTGAATCTGTATATTGCTTTTGGTAGGATGGCCATTTTAATAATGTTTACTCTTCCAGTCCATGAGCAGGGGATGTCTTTCCATTTCTTTGTGTCTTCTTCTATTTCTTTTAACAGTGTTTTATAGTTTTCTTTGTATGGCTTCTTTACCTCTTTTGTTAGATTTATTCCCAAATATTTGATTTTTTTTTGTTTCGATAATAAAAGGGATGATTTTTTTTATTTCTTCTTCTTCAGATTATTGTTTGTGTATAGGAAGGCTACTGACTTTTGCGTGTTGATTTTGTATCCTGCCACTTTGCTGAACTGATTGATGAGTTGAATTAGTTTTTCTGTGGAGTTTTTGGGGTTCTCTATGTATAATATCATATCATCTGCAAATAGTGATAGTTTGACTTCTTTTCCTATTTGGATTCCTTGTATGTCTTTCTCTTGTCTTATTGCTCTGGCTAGGACTTCCAGTATTATATTGAAAAGCAGTGGTGAGAGTGGACATCCTTGTCTTGTTCCAGATCTTAATGGAAATGCTTTCAGCTTTTCACCATTGAGAATGATACTGGCTGTTGGCTTGTCATATATGGCCTTTATGATGTTGAGGTATGTTCCTTGTATCCCAAGAATTTCAAGGGCTTTTATCATGAATGGGTGTTGTGCTTTGTCAAAAGCTTTCTCAGCATCTATTGATATTATCATATGGTTTTTATATTTCTTTTTGTTGATGTGTTGGATAACGTTGATTGATTTTCGGATGTTGAACCATCCTTGTGTCCCTGGAATGAATCCTACTTGGTCGTGGTGAATTATCTTATGGACATGTTGGATTCTGATAGCTAAAATTTTATTGAGGATTTTTGCATCAGTGTTCATTAGGGAGGTTGGCCTGTAGTTTTTCTTTTTTGTGTTGTCCTTGTTCGGTTTTGGTATTAGTGTAATGTTGGCTTCATAGAACGTGTTTGGTATTGTCCCTTCCTTCTCAATTTTTTGGAAGAGTTTGTGAAGGATAGGCACTAATTCGTCTCTGAATGTTTGGTAGAATTCATTTGTAAATCCATCAGGTCCTGGGCTTTTGTTTTTGGGGAGGTTTTTGATTACCATTTCAATTTTGCTGCTTGTAATTGGTCTGTTTAGGTGTTCTATTTCTTCTTTATCTAGCTTTGGGTGATTGTAGAGTTGTAGGAATTTGTCCATCTCCTCTAGATTGTTGAACTTGTTTCCATATAACTGTTCATAGTAGTTACTGATTATTCTTTTGATTTCTGCTGTGTCCGTTGTGATTTCTCCTCTTTCATTTATGATCCTGTTTATATGTGCTTTCTCCCTTTTTTCCTTTGTGAGCCTGGCTAGGGGTTTGTCTATTTTATTGATTTTTTCGAAGAACCAGCTCTTGGTTTCATTGATCTTTTGGATTGTTTTTTCAGTTTCAATTTCATTTATTTCTGCTTTGGTTTTTATTATTTCTATTCTTCTACTGCTTTTGGGGATTTTTTGTTTTTCTTTTTCTAGATCTTTGAGCTTCGAGATTAAGTTGTTTCTTTGAGTTCTTTCTTGTTTCTTGATGTGAGCTTCTATTGCTGTATATTTTCCTCTTATTACTGCTTTTGCTGCGTCCCATACATTTAGGATATTGGTGTCCTCCTTGTCATTCAGTTCAAAGAATTTTTTAATTTCTTCTTTGATCTCATCATTAGTCCAGTGGTCTTCCAGGAGTGTGGTTTTCAATCTCCATGAGGTAGGAGAGTTCCTTGCCTTCTTTTTATGGTTTATTTCTAGTTTGATGCCTTCATGGTCACAAAAGATGTTTGGTATGATTTCAATCTTGGTGTATCTATTGATGTTTGTCTTGGGTCCCAGTATGTGATCGATCCTGGAGAATGATCCGTGTGCGCTTGAGAAAAATATGTACTCCGTTTTTTGGGGGTTTAGTGTTCTATAGATGTCTATTAAGCCCAAATACTCTAGGTCCTTATTTAGAGCTTTAGTTTCTTTGCTTATTTTTTGTCTTGTTGATCTATCCATAGTTGATAGTGGTGTGTTGAAGTCTCCCACTACGTATGTGTTTTTTCTGATGTCTGTTTTCAGAGATGACAACATTTGTCTGGTATATTTTGGTGCTCCTTCGTTTGGTGAGTATATGTTAATTAGTATTATTTCTTCTTGAAGTATTGTCCCCTTGATCATAATGTAGTGACCGTTGGGGGTCTCTTTTTATTTTTTTGAGTTTGAAATCTGTTTTATCTGATATTAGTATAGCTGTTCCTGCTTTCTTTTTTGGTCCATTTGCTTGTAGGATTGTTTTCCAACCTTTAACTTTGAGTCTATTGAGACAGCAAAAATTTGGGTTTTGTTTCTTAATCCAGCCTGCAACTCTGTGTCTTTTTATTGAAGAGTTTAGTCCATTTACATTTAGAGTTAATATTGACATGTTAGCATCTGTATTTGCCATTGTGTTTGTCTTTCCTTTGATTTTATTTATTTATTCTTTTAATAATTTTTTTTTTTCTTTGGCCTTCTTTCGTTGTTATTCGTCCCTCTGAGGTTCTGGCTTTAGGATTCCTTGTAGTATTTTTTGGAGTGGGGATTTAGTTGTAATGAAATTCCAGAGTTTCTGTTTGTCTGAGAAGGTCCTTATTCTTTCTTCATAGAGGAAGGACAGCTTTGTGGGATAGAGTATTCTTGGTTGGCATCTGTTTTCTTTGAGTCTGTTGACTATGTCCCTCCACTCTCTCCTTGCCCGTAGTGTTTCTTCAGAGAAGTCTGATGTCAGTCTTATTGGTTTTCCTTTGAATGTTATCTGTTTCTTCCCTCTTGTCAGCTTCATTATTTTTTCCTTGTCCTGGATTCTTCGGAGCTTTACTATATTATGTGTCTTGCTGTATTTTTCCTTTCATCGTGGAAGTTTGGTGTTCTTCTTGCTTCTTGTATATCAATTTTCAGCTCCTTCACATTTGGGAAGTTCTCTTCAATTATCTCTTTGAATATTTTCTCTGTTCCTACATCTCTCTCCTCTTCTTCTGGTATTCCTATAACTCTTATATTTCCTTTCCTCATGGAGTCAGATAGTTCCCTAAGTCTTTCTTCATTCTTTTTCCTTCGTACTTCTCTTTCCTTTTCTGTTTTGGTTCTTTTTATTTCTGTGTCTTCAAGAGTACTTATTCGTTCTTCCATTTCATCTATTCTGCTTTCATTGCTTTTCCCAGAGTTCTTTAGTTCCTCCATTAATTCTTTGATCTCCTGCGTTTCTTTTGCTTCCCTCTTTAGGGACTCAATTTCATTCTTCTGACCATTGTTTTCCCTCTTTAGGGACTCAATTCCCTTCTTCTGATCATTGTTTTCCTTTATGAGTTCTGTCATTTTTTTAATGACAGCAATT